AAGGACAGCGCTAGTGTGGGAGGCTCATTAAAACGCGATTTAACTTTTCCGTTCGTTTAAAATTTGCAAAATTAAACTGCGAGCTTCAAATTTTGCCTCGTTCAGCATTTTTCTATGCACAAACTTAACAAGAAAGTCGTCAAACTGTCAGGGACGATTGCCATTTTAGGCCTAGTAGAGCCCAGCAAGAGAGTGCGAGAGGGACAGCGCTAGTGTGGGAGACTCATTAAAACGCGATTTAATTTTCTCGTTTGTTTAAGATTTTCAAAATTAAACTGCGATTAAAGGGACTGAAAAAACCATTCACTCACTTTTCCTTACTATTTTTAGAAAATTTTGTCTCGTTCTGCATTTTTCTATGCACAAACAAGAAAGTCGTCAAACTGTCGTGGAACGATTGCCATTTTAGGCCTAGTAGAGGCCAGCAAGCGAGTGCGAGATAGACAGCGCTAGTGTGGGAGACTCATTAAAACGCGATTAAATTTTTTGGTTCGTTTAAAATTTGCAAAATTAAACTGCGAACTTCAAATTGACTCAAAAAACCATTCATTCACTTTTCCTCACTAATTTTCGAAAATTTTGTCTTGCTCTGCATTTTTCTATGCACAAACTTAACAAGGAAGTGGTCAAACTGTCATGGAACGATTACCATTTTAGGCCTAGTAGAGCCCAGCAAGCGAGTGCGAGAAAGACAGCGCTAGTGTGGGAGAGTCATTAAAACGCGATTTAATTTTCTGGTTCGTTTAAAATTAAACTGCGAACTTCAAATGGACTCAAAAAATTATTCACTCACTTAAATCGTCTTTCAAATTGATTGGAGAAATTAATTTTGATTTTCAAAAACGTATTTTAGTTAAAATTTCCGAAAAATGTTTACTGGAACTGGGAAAAGCTCTTCGAACGGTATTGAACGATTGCCACTTTAGCAATGAGTGCGAGAGGGACGGCGCTAGTATGGGCAACTCATTCAATTAAATTAAATCAAAATTTCCAGCCGGCTGCAAACGATCGATGGAAATTTACAAAATTAAGCTGCTGTGAAGTCCGTATTGACTTGAAAAAAATTATCCAGACCCACTTTACCGGGCGTGCTGATTAAGTGGAACCATTGACGCGTATTAAGTACCCGATTTGTTTGATTTACTTTTATCCGAATCCCCGCATAAACACGCGGGCCGAAGACGGATTCTGTTGTTAAACGATCGTTGAGTGGGAATCATTTTTTTCCTGTCTGTGCTTCACTCAGTTGGAATCGAAGTTTTGGGGCCGCTGATGTTGGTGGTTTGAAGGTTAAGTTAATTTTTTTTTTGGTTTACAGACTCCCCCAAATGGAAGAAAATGCCCAAGCAGCCACAGGAGCGGATGTGCCGATCGCCCAACATGTTCAGGTAGGAAAGCTTCGCACTTGGATGGTGTTTTCGCCTTTTTCGCACTTGGATGGTTTTTTCGAGTTTTTCGCATTTGGTTGGTTTTTTCGCACTTGGGTGCTCATTAATTTCGAGCATTTCATGACCGGACGTCCATTAGTCGAATTGGGGCAGTTTTCGCAGGGAGTTTTCGCATTAGCCCGCTAGTGAGATCCGCTTTTAACGCTCACTTTGCGTATACTGGAACTGGGCGACTTTCACCTTAGGCCACCTCCGAAATCGGTTGCTAATGTTGGCGGGGCGAATTTAGTCAATTTTTCGTCTGGAAGGAGAAACTGACGGGAAAAAAACCGGAAAAAGCGCCGACGAAAAAAAACCCCGAACGCAAAACACTCACCGTGCCGTAATTAATCTCACGCGTTAATAAACATCAAGGTAAGACTGTTATTACAAACATGCCACCTGGAAGTAAACAAACAAAAGCGATTGTTTACAATCGATCTTTGCCCGTAGTAATGATAGTAACGGTGAATTCCATGACTAATTCGGGCGCGTGCACGTGAAACCGACGGCGCCACATTTGGAAAAACTCCAGCTGAATGCGGAACGGGTGGAAAACTGCTGGAAAAAACGTCCTGGACGGCTCCCGGAGCCCCAGAGGCTGCAATTGCGACGTTGCCACACCAGAAAGTGCAATGTTGCCAAGTGGAGCAGGCGATTGACAAGCCATGTGTCAAGTGTACTGACAAATCCTCGAGTGGTCCCTGACAGTTCAACACCCTGTAAACCATGCAAGGGCTCATTTTGCGCCCAGTCACGTCTGGACGAAAAATGTGCCAAACTTCCCAGACAGTCCAGCAAATGTGAAAAAATGCGATGTTGCCTATTGAAATAGCGAAGTTTTGGGCGTGGTTTCAACTGAAGGGTGTACAAATGGCCTGGAAAAGTTCCCCATACCAGAAAGCGCATAAAACTTCACTTTTTACTGGAGGCGATCAGAACGAAAAATGTGCCAAACTTCCCAAAAAGTTCAGCAAATGTGAAAAAATGCGATGTTGTCTATTGAAATAGCGAAGTTTTGGGCGTGGTTTCAACTGAAGTGTGTGCAAATGGCCTGGGAAAGTTCCCCATACCAGAAAGCGCATAAAACTTCAC